AAAGCATGACAACATATATATAATGAGAGTTCCAGAAGAGGAAAGAGCAACAGTGGTGGGGGGTGGAGTTAAGAAATAATGGCTACAAATTTCCAAATTTGAAGAAAAACATTAATTTATCTATCCAAGAACACAAATAGATCAGCACCAAGACACACCACAGTCAAAATGCTGACAGAGCACAAAAAATAAAAAAAATAAAAAAAAAATAAAACCCTAAAAGGAGCAAGAGAAAAATGACTCATCATGTACAAGGGAACAATGGTATGATTAACAGCTGGCATCCCATCAGAAATGATGAGGCCAGGAAAAGAAACCATGGAATTTAAAGAAACAAAAAAGCTCTCAACTAAGAATTCTGTATTCAGCAAAACCATCCTTCAAAAACAACACTGAAATCAGTGAAACCAAGATAAAGTCTTAAGAGAATTTGTTGCTGTCCAACATGCCTTAGGAGAAATACTAAAGGAAGACCTCCATGCTGAAAAGAAGTTACTCCAGAAAGTAACAAATCCACAGGAAAAAAAATAAAGCGTGCAGAAAATATAATTATATAGGTAAATACAAAAGATTCTAGACATATAATTGTTCTCATTACTTTTCTTCATTTCCCTTAAAAAAATAAGATTATATAAAGCAATAATTAAGGTAGTATATGGCTGGGTTTATAATGTGCATAACTGTAGTATGTATGACAATAATAGAACAAAGAGAGAAAAGAGGTATATCGAGGTTTCCATAATTTACCAGAATTAATTTAGTATCATTCTGAAGGAGACTATAAGTTAAAATGTATTATTATTATCCCTAGAGCAACTAATATGAAAATAACGTATTGAAAGAAATGAACAAAATAATTAAAACAGTTCACTAAAAATTAACAAAGTCAGTAAAGGAGGAAAAGAGAAGAAACACAAGACAAACAAAAATAACAAAATAGCAGACATAAATCCAACAAAATCAACAATTATATTAAATGTGAATGGACTAAATACCCCCATTCAAAAGGCAGAGAATATAAGACTGAATTTAAATAAAAACAAAAACAAAAAACAAGACCCAAATGTATGCTGTCTTTAAGAGATATATCTTAGATTCAAAGACATAAAAATGTTAAAATTAAAGGATATAAAAATAATATACTAAGAAAAATAGAGTAGCTATAGAACTAAAATGACAAAATATAATTTAAAACAAGAAATACTACTGAAGACAAAGAAGACAATTTCTTAATGACAAAAGTCACTGCATCAGAAAAACATAATAATTATATACATCTAACAATAAAACCCCGAAATACATGGAAGCAAAAAAGGAAAATTAAAAAGAGAAATAGACAATACAACAAAAATAGTTGTACAGTATAATGATACAACAAGATAGAAAATCTGCAAGGATATTGAGGACTTGACAAACACTATCAATGAATTTGATATAACTGACAGAACACTCCACCTCTAAACTGCAGAATACATATTCCTTTCAAACACACATAAAACATTCCAATAAGCCATATGCTGGGCCACAAAACAAGTCTCAGTGAATTTAAAAATACTGAAATCATGAAAAGTACATTGTTTGACCACAAGAGAATCAGAGATCCACAACAGAGAGAAATCTGGGAATACTCTGAAATATTGGTAAATTCAACAACAAATTTCTAAATAATCCATGGGTCAAATAAATCACAAGGAAAATTTAAACATATTTGAATTGAATGAAAACAAAAACAGCATATCAAAATGTATGGAATGTAGTTAAAGCAGTGCTCAGAGGGAAATGTATAGCTTTAAACATCCATCAGAAAAGAAAACAGGTCACAAATCAATAATCTAAGCTTCCACCTTAGGTAATAAGGCAGGGGCAGGAGGGGGGTGGGGAAGTACACTAAGCCTAAAGCAAGCAGAACAAAGGGAGGAAAATGTTAGAGTAGAAATCAATGAAGCAGAAAATAAAAAAATAATTAAATAAAAAGCTGGTTCTTTAAAAAAAAAAATTGTAATGTTTATTTATTTGAGAGAGAGAGACAGAATCTGAAGCAGGCACCAGGATCTGAGCTGTCAGCACAGAGCCCAAAGCAGAGCTTGAACCCACAAACTGCAAGACCATGACCTGAGCCAAAGTCAGTTGCTTAAACAACCGAGCCACCCAGGTGCCCCAAAAGCTGGTTCTTTAAAAAGATCAACAAAAACTGGGGCACCTGGGTGGCTCAGTCGGTTAAGTGTCTGACTCTTGATTTTGGCTCAGGTCATGATCTCACAGTTCATGGGTTTGAGCCCCATGTCAGGCTCTATGCTGACGGCTTAGAGCCTGCTTGGGTTCTATCTCACTCTTTTTCTATCTCTCCCCTGCTTGCTCATGTGCATTTTCTCTCTCTCTCTCAAAAATAAACAAACTTTTTTAAAAAATCAACAAAACTGACATACTTAGGCTAGATTTATCAGAAAACAGAGAAAAGATACAAATTACCAAAATAAAGAATGAAAGACAGAACATCATCACCAACCTTACAGTATCTTAAAAGACTAAAAAATATGAACTTTGTATCAACAAATTAAACACTATGAAACAGACTAATGTCTAAAAACACACGTTATCAAAACTTAAAAAGAAACAAAATCCAAGTGGAACTAATATAACAAGTGAGGAAATTGAATTAGTAATTAAAAATCTTCCCACAAAGAAAAGCCCAAGCCCACACAGCTTCATTGGTGAATGCTATCAAATAGTTAAAGAAGTAACGGCAGTCCTTTGGAAACTATTTCAGAAAAAAATAGAGGGGAAAACATCATGCAACTCCTCCAATGAGGCCAGTGTTGCCCTGATAACAAAGTTGGACAAAGGCACCACAAGAAACCAACAGACTAATATCCTTCATGAATATAAACACAAAATTCCTTGACAGGATTTAGGAAAGCCAAATTTAGCAGCATATATAAAATTATACAGCATGACTAACTGAAACTAATCCCTGGAATACAGGATTGAGTTAACCTCTGAAAATCAATTAATGTAAGATACCATATTAAAAGAATAAAGGACAAAATCTATATGATCATCTCATTGGATGCCGGGCGGAAAAATTCCAACAAAATCCAATACCCATTCGTGATTAAAAACTCAACAAACTAGGAACAAAAGGGAACTTACTCAATCTAATAAAGGACATGTACAGAAAACATTAAACTTCCCATTCCCAATTTCCAACTTCCATTACCAATAGTTTGTTTCCAAAGAAGTCATTCAGTCTCATAGCACCTCAAATGTTCTCCGGTCCTTTCTTACATACTTAAAAGGTTACAGCACTCGGGGCGCCTGGGTGGCGCAGTCGGTTAAGCGTCCGACTTCAGCCAGGTCACGATCTCACGGTCCGTGAGTTCGAGCCCCGCGTCGGGCTCTGGGCTGATGGCTCGGAGCCTGGAGCCTGTTTCCGATTCTGTGTCTCCCTCTCTCTCTGCCCCTCCCCCGTTCATGCTCTCTCTCTGTCCCAAAAATAAATAAATGTTGAAAAAAATTAAAAAAAAAAAAAAGGTTACAGCACTCAAAAGAATCATGAAAAAGTGCTCTGTAAACTACCTGCCATACAGTCATGCCAATTCTACCATTAAAGGTTCAACAGGTGTTGAAAGAGTGAGGTTACTGGCTTAACCAAGGCTTAAAAACCACTTGTGAATAGTGTTTCAATCTCCGAATAAGCTGCTATTATCCTTTTTTGTTTTAAATTCCTGAAATATAACCTGCACACTTCATCTGGTCAGAAAAGAAAATGTTCAGAATAAAGGAACTAGCAGACATGCACTGTCCTAAATAACCAAAGGATAACTCAAATCCATGTGCAACTCTCTGGAGAGTCCTGCATGACACCGAAATTCAAAACATTCTAGTAATTCCACACAAAATGAGTTTGAAATCAAACCTCAGTACAGAAGGTGTATATTAACTGTAACCACCTACAGGCTAAACCCATGAATTTACACAATTCTGAATCCAGGTAATTGTAGGATAGACACATTTAATTATATTCTAGTCGAATATTAGACTTGTTTACAGAGATGTTGCTTGGTAACAGAAGCACTGCTTTAACGACCTACTCAGTTTTAGATCCACGCAAGTACTCTGTGCTCAGGCTAAACACGATCAACTATAGTATATATAAGAAATTAAGAACAAGTTTCTTGCCATTCTAGACATCTTTGAGCTTTTACTGAAACAGCTTCATAATAACTTAACTTTAGGCTTTAAACATACGTGGCAGTGGGCATTTTTAAAAGCTAGGTACCCACGTATTATGGGCAAAAGCTGCACAGTAAGGATTTATCACAATGTTCATTTAAGCCCGGCACTCATTTACATAGTGCCAAATATCGCGATTAAAATGGTCTGCAGGGTCACAGAAAATGGTAACATAGTTTTTCCATGACAAATTAAACTGGGGCTACCACAACGGGCAGCCAGTTAGTAAACTGGCTACACAAGCACCACTCTGGGGTGCATCAAAGAGCTCCATAAAGGGGCGCCTGGCTGGCTGGTTCAGCGGGGAGGGGCGGGGGGGGGGGGAAGCATGCTACTCTTGATCTCTGGTCGTAAGTTCCACACACCCCCCCCCTTGGGTGTAAAGATCACTTAAATGAACTTTTAGAAAAAGAATTTTTTCAAAAGCTCCATAAGGAGTTTCACGTGCACTTAACTGGTACAGAACAGGTACCGGCGGAGCATGCTACTCTCGATCTCCGAGTCGTGAGTTCCACACCAGCCTTGGGTGTAAAGATTACTTAAATGAACTTTTTAGAAAAAGAACTTTTTTCAAAAGCTCCATTAAGAGTTTCACGTGCACTTAATTGGTACAGAACATGTCTCACAGCCGACGTTTCTAACACCCGCTCCAATTACTTTACAGGAAAAGCAGTTAACAACAAAAACTCAAGGGCAAGTTGTGAAGAAAAAGGGAATATTCCAAAACTACGGACAACACAGCGTCCCCATAAAACGAGGTTACGTACCAGACTCACACACAGTCCTTGCAACGTGCGCGCATAAAACTTAATAGCGCCCGGTGCCGTGGCCACACTTGCCACCGGGGGACACCTGCACAGCTCCAACCACCGGCACCCACTCAACTCTTCTCGCACGGGCATTGAGGCTAAGGGATAAGGTCCCACACGCGAGGTGCTGGCCAGGCCGGCAGCCGCTCGCGGCGCAGGCTGAAGAGGAAAAGGAGGGCCGAGCGCGCCCCCCTAGAGCTCCGGACTCCAGGGAAATCTGAGGTATCCTGGGAGAGCTCCGAGGGCGGAGAGGGCGGCGGCGGCGGAGAAAAGCTTCGCTCCACCTCGGCGGACGGGCTTTCTGCGGACGGCTGAGCAGCTCAGTAGCCGCCGACCCGCGGAAACACCACCCTCCGCCCACCACCCGCCGCCCCTCAAGCCCAGCGGAGCCGAGTGGGTCCCGAGACCTAAGAGCGCGCGAAGCAGGAAGTCCCGCCCCTACGCCGACGTCACCGACGCCGCAGACGTCGGCCGCAGCTAGCGGCCGTTAGAGGGAGGAGGCAAGCGGAACCGAGGCGGGAGCGGCTGCGGTGGATGGCGGGAATGCCGGGGGCGAGGCGGCGCTACTGTACGCCGCTGGCGGGGACGCGGAGATCCCGTGAGCCGAAGGGAACCGAAAATCCGAGACCGGGCACTTGCTTCATTGAGCCAGAGTGAAGTGCGCGGTTGAGCGCGAAGGCGATCTTCCTTGCCTCCTCGCTGCGCCATGTCTGGGGGGGTGGGGGGTCTTCCCCTTTTCTCGCTACTCCTTCCTTCTGCGGGTTCTTACACTCTTGCCTCTTTGAGGGCTCCAATGATGTTCTGCTGCCACGTCCTCCTGCCTTCGTCCCTGATTGTGTAGATTTAATGGGGACTGGAGTCGCCTGCCTGCAATGTCAGTCTTGGGGCGTCAGCCCCGGAGTGGGGAGTCGGCTCAGCTTGCCAGGAGGCAACGGCCAGGTCGGGGCCAGGGCCCGGGGCGGGACGGGGGCGGGGGGGCGGGGGGTGAATCCTTTCCCGCCCCTCGCGTTCTCCTCCACATCTCACCTAGTCCCGTCAAGTCAGGACCCACGGGGGTAACATTGTGAACCATTTGCCTTAAGGTTGTAAACTAGAGTTGGAAGAGAAGGTACTAGTTTTTGAGAGCGTCAGTTATATGCCAATGGCTGAAAATGAGGTAGGGTTTCAGCCTTTAAGAATACGTGGTAGAAGAAATAGGCACTCTCCCTTGGTTTGGGGTTTCGGTTCTCAGTGCATTGAGAAGCACAGCCTATTTTTACCCTCAAGGGCAACATTTTCAGGCTCTAGTCATGATTAGAAAGACAACTGAGATAAGGACCTTTTTTGTTGAAATGAGGAAAGAGGAGCCATTAGATGGAACACTGAGTTGGGTCATGGAGTGTCAACATATGGATCAGAAAAATGTGGGCTATCGGTAATATCAGTGAACAGGATATAGAATCCAGAAACAAACTGCTATGCATATATGAATATTTAATAATAGTAGCTCACATTTGCCGAGCATTTAGGTGTCAAGTACCAGAACACTTTCAAGTTCTACGGTTCAACCCTAAGATAGCTGCAATTATTATCTCGATTTTATAACGTTACCCAGAGCCGTTACTGTTGAAGCCAGGAAGTCTGGACTCCAGAAGTCTTGCTGGTAATCAGTAAACTATATGCTACAAATCACTGCTAAGTGAGGAAAAAGATTATCTGAGAAATAAAGAACCACTGGAGACAGGCTTTTTATCTACTTTGTCAAATAAATACCAGATGAATCAAAAATTTAAATGTACAGAGTGAAGCCATAAAAATACTACAAGAAAATTAAGGTGAATCTTTTTAATCTTGAGCTGAGAAAGACCTTTGCTAAGTATAACACAAGAACCAGAAACCAGGGGCGCCTGGGTGGCTCAGTCGGTTGAGCGTCCGACTTCAGCTCAGGTCATGATCTCACGGTTCGTGAGTTCGAGCCCTGCGTCAGGCTCTGGGCTGATGGCTCAGCCTGGAGCCTGCTTCCGATTCTGTGTCTCCCTCTCTCTCTGCCCCTCCCCCATTCATGCTCTGTGTCTCTCTGTCTCAAAAATAAATAAACATTAAACAAAATTAAAAAAAAAAAAGAACCAGAAACCATAACAGAAAAAAATTGGTAAAAATTAAACTCATAAAGATTGTAATAGTCTATATACAATTAATGAACGAATGGAAAATAAATTTTATCATGTGGGAAAAGGAAAAATATTCCTAATATACAAACAGTTCATTGAATATCAACTTTAAAAACACCACAATAAGTAAAATTAGCAAAGGAAATCAATAGGACATTTTTAAACCAAGAAAAAGAAACTCCTAATTAACAAATGAAAAGATGTTCAACATTCCAAACAGATCCTTTTTGTCCATCAGGGTACATAGGGATATGGGGTTACATTTAACTATATTGTGTACTATTGGTGTTAAAATTGAAATTGGGACAGTCTTATTTACCAAAATTTCATTAGCCTTTGCCCCGAAATCTCATTTCCTAGTCAGTTCGTTCTAAAGACAATAACAAAAAACATGGGGCGCCTGGGTGGCGCAGTCGGTTGAGCGTCCGACTTCAGCCGGGTCATGATCTCGCGGTCCGTGAGTTCGAGCCCCGCATCAGGCTCTGGGCTGATGGCTCAGAGCCTGGAGCCTGTTTCCGATTCTGTGTCTCCCTCTCTCTCTGCCCCTCCCCCGTTCATGCTCTGTCTCTCTCTATCCCAAAAATAAATAAACGTTGAAAAAAAAAATGTTAAAGACAATAACAAAAAACATTCATACAGATGTTCCTTACTCCCTTTTTTGTAATAGTTTGAGAAACAACATAAATGCCATCACTAGGACTCTAGTTAAATTACAGTGCATGTGCACAATGGAATTAATTAAGCCATTAAAAACAATGATATAAATCTTTATTTACATGAAAATATGTTCATAGCATATAGGTTCCCCCCCTGTAATAAAACAATATAAATTAGCAGGAACAGTGTCATTTTGACATGAATATGTATGTGGATATATGTGGATATAAGGATGCAAAAAGATCTGGAAGGATGTTGGCCAAAATGCAAGAGGTTTCTATTTTGTATTTTGGACTTTTCTATCTTGTTTGAATTTTTTATAATGTATTTACCATTTTTACACACACACACACACACACACACACACACAAACTTATTTTTAATTAAGGATATGCCAGTAAAAGGAGATCCAGTAAAAGGGGATCCAGTTGACTGTAGATGCTCATAGGTAGATGACCAATGTGAAGTAATTATATTTGGGATCTAAATTCTCAGCTTTTAAGTGTCTGTGAATTTGATTAGATTTATTTATCCCAAGTTAAATAACTCATCACTTGGACATCATGATTCTGACTTCCTAAATTTTTAGGCCTGGGTATTCTTCCTGTGTGTTCTCTGTGTACCTCTCATGGTATTTGTCACACTGAATTGTAATTCCCTCTTCTTTCATAGATTGTTCCTACAATATATACCCTTTTCTGTCACATTTATATATTTATTTTCCCGATTCAGTATGTGTCATCTACTTTATTTTGTATGCAGAAAATTTAAGTTTAATGTAGTTATAATGCTAATGAATTATACATATATTAAAGGGATAGTTTCAATAAATTTGACAACTTAGGTGAAATGGACAAATTCCTGAAAAATACCAAAAAAAAAAAAAAACTGACACAAGAAGAAAAAGAAAAGCTAAATGGCCCAATATCTATTAAAGAAATGAAATTTCTAATCAAAACTTTCCTACAAGGAAAACTCCAGAGCCAGATGGCTACTCTAGTAAATTTTATCAGACTTTTAAAGAAGATAAAAGTATTAATCCTATACATTTCAGACAGCAGAGCAGGAATGAACACTTTGAAACTCATTTTATGAAGCCAATATAATCCTGGTATCAAAACTTGACCAGGAAATTTTACAAGAAAATTACAAACCAATACCGTTCATGAATATAGGTTTTTAAATTCTTTTTTTTTTTAAACGTTTTTATTTATTTTTGAGACAGAGAGCATGAATGGGGGAGGACCAGAGAGAGGGAGGGAGACACAGAATCGGAAACAGGCTCCAGCCTCTGAGCCATCAGCCCAGAGCCCGACGCGGGGCTCGAACTCACAGACTGTGAGATCGTGACCTGAGCTGAAGTCGGACGCTTAACCGACTGAGCCACCCAGGCGCCCCTAGATTTTTAAATTCTTAATGAAATATTGCAAATTAAACCTTGCAGTATAAAGGATAAGATGCCATGGCCAAGGAAGGTGAGGTTAAACATTGAAAAGTTAGTGTAGTTCACCACATTAATAGAATGAAAGAGAAAAACAAAATGATAGTCTCAGTAGATGCAGAAAAAGCATCTGATAAAATTCAAAATGCATTCATGTCAAAAACCTTCAGCAAGTTAAGTATAGAAAGGAACTTTCTCAATATAACAATCATCTTTGAAAAATGTAATAGTGAAACACTAAATCTTTTTCCCCTAAGGTCAGGAGTAACAGAAGACAAGAATGTGTGCTCTCACCACTTCTATTCAGGGTTATGTTGAAGGTCCTAATCAATGTAATAAAACAATAACAAAATGCATCAAGATTGGAAAGAGTTATGTTTCCTGATTTCAAAACTTACAACAAAACTACAGTAATCAATATAACTCTAATGCCAAAAAAATAGATATGTAGATGTAGATGTATAGATCAGTGAGCTATAATTCAGAGTCCAGAAATACACCTTTACATTTATGGTCAATTGACTTTTGACAAAGGTGCCAAGACAATTCAATAGGGTCTTTTCAAAAAATGATTTTGAAGAGTCTTTTCAAAAAATGATTTTGGGAAAACTGGAAATTCACATGGAAAAGAATGAACTTGGACTCCTATATATATATGCAAATGTCAAGACGAATCAAAGATCTAAATGCAAGAGCTAAAACTAAAACTCAGAAAAAAAAACAGCCATAAATCTTAATGGCATTGGATTAGGAAATGGTTTCTCAGATGTGACACCAAAAACACAAACACCAAAGGGGGCAGGGGGGAAACAGGTAAATTGTACTTTATCAAAATTAAAAATTTTTGTGCTTCAAAGAAGACTATGAAAGTGAAAAGACTGCATCTCCTGGTGTTCCTCTCAGGCCGAGCCCTGGCCCCTCACCTGCTCTGCTCCAGATGAAGTGTGAGCACTGCACGTGGAAGAAGGGAGAATTCTGTAAGTTGGCTGATGCCAAAATATTTCTGAGTAACTGCCTGGTATGTGACAGTTGTGTGACTGGAAGAAGGGATCCAGGTTTCCCAACAGAACACCAAGGACTTCTTTTGAATTCTGAAACTTAATAAGAAATGTGATACCTCACAGCACAAGGTGCTGGCAAGGTCAGTGTGTCCTCAGTCTCTGCTTTATTTCGCTGCTAAATTCTGCCTCAGTGTGACTGATACATCTAGAAGATTCTATGGCTTCCTCAAAACTCTTGGGGTGCACTGTCTTTGATACAACAACTGCCATGGAGTTCAGCATCCTGGAGAGTCAGAAAGAATCTGCCTCAACACCACCAGCACAGTGAGGAAGAGCTGGCATTACCCAGTCTCACCTCCACCAATCCCAGCTGGGTCCCATACTCAGAGCACTTGCTGTCACCACCCCTCCCACCTCTGCACCACCAAGTCTCCTCAACAGATCATGGGCTCCCTGGTGAAGGATTACTTCGCCAGATGGCAGAACCTGTCCCCAGACAAGATTTTTCACATAATTGTGGCCCCTTGCAAAGATAAGAAACCAGAGACCCTTCAAGAAGATTTTCCTATGGCTTCACTTGGTTCCCAGGGTGCTGAGTATTAACCTCAGGTGAAATTGTTCAGGTGATGGAGCAAAGTGACCCCTTGGTGAAAAGATGCTGCCATGGACACTGACGCCTGAAGGAGGAGAAGGTGAGGCACTGTGATGGGCCCAGCTCCAATGGGTACCTGGTGCGCATCTTCAGACACGCAGCCAAGCAGCTGTTTGACAACATGGGGAGGACACCTGCTGCACCCTGAGGAACAAAGACTTCCAGGAGGTCACCCTTGAAAAGAATGGGGAGGTTCTGTTATGCTTTGCTGCTTTCAAAACATCCAGAATATGGTTCTCAAACTTAAGAAGAGCAAACATACCACTTTGTGGAAGTGCTCACATGGACCAGGGGGTGTTTAAACAGCAGAGGCTAAGCCCAGACCGAGGATGGGCATACAGAAAAGGCACTGCCGAGGCACATGAAAGGCTTCTATGCTGACATCCCCATGCAGCCCCCCAGACGAGTGCCCACATGCAGCAGCTGTACCAGGAGTGGCTGAACAGGGCCAACTCCCCCAGAATCCAGGAAGCCCTGCACACTGTGTGCCAAGGCCAGGGCTCCCTGCCATCAGCTGAGACATCAAGTGGTCAAGGTGGAGAAGGCTGGGAAGCAGGCCCTGTCAGTTGCCCAAGGAGGGAGGAGCAACTGAGTGTGGGCATCAGAGACACTAAAGGAAAACTGCTCGGCTTCTCAGTTACTACGTTAGTTTTTCAGAATTCTCTACCCTATATTTGTTTGTGACTCCCTCACGCAGTTTGATTTGGTGCTATCTTTGTAATATGTGTGCGAGTGCAATATTTTAACATGAAACAAGGACTGCCCCAATTGAAGTATCCTTTTGTGTTAAGACTGAAAAATGGCACCTGTGTAGCTCAGTTGGTTATGCGTTTGACTTTTTGATTTCACCTCAGGTCATGATCTCACAGTCATGAGCTCAGGCTCTGTGCTGGGCTTGGAGCCTGGTTAAGGCTCTCATCTCTTGCTCTCTCTAAAAAAAAAAAAAAAAAAAAAAAAAACTGAAAAATATCCCAAAGAACAAGAATGAAGACACACTACTATCTTTTAGGCTTTAAAAAAATCCAAAAAACGTCCTGTGAAGAGCTAAGACCTCCCCCCACCCCGCCAGAAGTTCAGATTCGTGTGTCTCGGAGAGATTTGATGTGGACATGAAGGCAGGAGGCAGGCAGGCTGCAGGGGCCTGTTGTGGGGCCACAGTCCACAGTCTGCCTACTTTGCTCTTATTTTTACCTACTTGCATTACTCCTGAAAATGTTTTTTGCCAAAACATGAATAAATTGCAACATTTTGGAATGGAGAGCTTATATATAAATCTGGATTTCCAGCTTTTCTGGAACAGTGGTCCACATTCCTCACTACTATGGTTTCCAGAGTGCAGTAGCAGCCTCCTTCTGGGACCAGACCTCTAACTCAGAGGCCCTGTGGGTGCTGGTGGCTTAGGCCCCAGACTTGCACTTTTACATTCAGTCTTTAAGGTGAACTCACCTTAGGCCAGGCTGTGTGGTCAGGAAAACAGCTATCTTAGTCCCTCCCCTGTGGGGTTAGCAGCAGAATGTGTCCTGATCCTGCTGTGGTCCTGCCTCTCCCGTACCTTTTTTCTTTCATCCTGCAGCCTGCGCAGGAGGCTGTGCAGGAGAACCTTAAAGAAGAAAGAACAGTTTACCCACAAAGAGAAAGGCCTAGTGAGCAGCCAGAAATGTACAGAATCACAACACTCCGCATCAGAACTCATCCCTGAAATGAAAGACATCTGAGAATGGCCTGCAGTTGGTTTTTCAAAGCACTTGGATTTTGTTAACCTGAGCGATGATGTTCTTCCTGAGCCCTCCATGCTCTAAAGCCTTAGCAGGCTCAGTTGCCTTCATCATATTCTGTATCATATAAACCTATCCAAGTTGATGGCTGGATATTGTGTGAAATTGTATATTTTGGGGGCACCTGCCTGGCTCCATTGGAAGAGTATGTGACTGTTCATCTCAGGGTTGTGAATTCAAGCCCCATGTTGGCTATAGAGATTACTTAAGTAAAAACTTTTTTTTTAACTTGTATATTTTTTTCTTTCAATCTGTTCACAATCAGGTTTCATCCTCCATGGTAATTGATATAGAATACAGTTGAAGAATATGGAAGAAAAAAAGTGAAGAGACAACCTACAGAATGGGGGGAAATATTTGAAGATCGTATCTGATAAGGACTTGTATTCAAAATATATAAAGAACTCTTACAATCAACAATAAAAAGATAAGCTAATAAAAATGGACAAAGGATTTGAATAGGGATTTCTCCAAAGAAGATGTACAAATAGCCAATAAGCACATGAGAAGATGATCAACATCATTTGTCATTAGGGAAATATAAAAACCATGATGAGTACCATTTTACACCCACTAGGATGGCAATAATAAAAAAGATGGACAATAACAAGCATTCGTGAAAATGTGGAGAAATAGGAACCCTCATACCCTAGTGGTGGGAATGTAAAATGGTGCTTTGGGAATAGGTTGGCAGTTCCTCCAGAGATTGAAACATAGAGTCACCATGTGACCTAGCAATTCCACTCCTAGTGAATTTGAAACACAGCCATACAAAAATTTGTATGCAAATATTCATAGCAACACTATTCATAATAATCAAAAGGTAGAAACAACCAAAAACCCATTAGCTGATGAATGAATAAACAAAATGTAGTATATCTATGCAATGGAATATTACTCAGCCATAGAAATGGAGTACTGATTCAAGCTACCACCTGAATGAACCTTGAACACGTTATATGCTAAGTGAAAGCTACATATTGTATGATTCCATTTATATGAAATGTCCAGAATAAGCAAATCCATAGGGAGTAAGAAAATAGATTAGTAGTAGACAGGGGCTTGGAATGGAGACAAGGGGGGAAGTAACTGTTAGTGAAAACAAGGTTTATATTTGGAGTGATGAAAATATTTTGAAATTAGTGATGAAGTTGCACAGCTTTGCAAAACCACTGAATTATACACTTGAATGGATTTTATGGTATGTGGATTATATCAATAAAAAAATTGGAAAGAAGTAAAACTGTAGTCACAGACAACGTGATTGTATACATAGAAAAGCCTATGGAATATACAAAAGAGCTACTAGAACTAATAATTTAGCAAGTCATAGGATACAGGGTCAATATACAAAAATCAATCCTACTTCCATATACCAGCAACAAACAATTGACAAATGAAATTGAAAGCAATACCATTTATAATGTACCCAAAAATATTAGAAACCTAGGAATAAACATGACAAAAAATGTGCAAGACCTCTGTACTGAGAACCACAAAACATAGTGGAGGGAAATTTTAAAAGAAATGGAGAAAAATGTCATATTTATAGATAGGAAGACTCTATCATTAAGCTCTTCATTCTTCCTAAACTGATTTGTACATTCAATCCAATCCCTATCAGAATTCCAGCAGGCTCTTTTTGGATTTTGTGGGGGATTTTTTTGTTTGTTTGTTTTTTGGGGGGAGCATTTTTTTAGGCATAGACAAAGTAATTTTATTTTTTAAAAAATTTTTAAACGTTTTTATTTATTTTTGAGACAGAGCATGAGCAGGGGAGGGGCAGAGACAGAGGGAGACACAGAATCTGAAGCAGGCTCCAGGCTCCGAGCTGTCAGCACAAAGCCTGATGCAGGGCTTGAACTCATGGACTGTGAGATCATGACCTGAGCTAAAGTCGGACACCCAACTGACTGAGCCACCCAGGCGCCC